TATTTCTCTTCTCACAAGGGATAATTTTAATTTTCCAACAAATTCGCCGACATTCTCTTTTTCTTTTTTATTTTTTCTTTTTCCGTTTTTTTCTAGGGAAAATAGCGCTTCTTCCTTTTAACTGAGACCAATTTAGAAACACTCTCTCTCGGGTAAATAAGGGCTCCGTTTCCGTGGAACTGGTTTTGTCCCCTGGATTGGAGTGTTGGTTTGTCTTTTGAATTGTTCCGAAGATGTGAATCAGTTGTATTTTTTATGTTATTATTTGATATTTAATTTTTTATTAATTAATTTCTCCCATTAATTTCAAACTTCAGTATTATTTTTTAACTAAGAAGAAATCCTTTTTTTTTATTCTTTACCATTATATCCTTAATATATAAATTATTTTATAATAATAATAAATATATAATATACAAATAATATTTTTATATAAGTAATATAGGAAAATTATTCATAATATACCTTTATTTTCTTCAAATTCAAAAAAAAAAATCCTCAAATGTTATGAACCTCATCCACGCACTCTTTTTTTTTTCTTTTTTTTTACTAAAATAACCGTCACAATATTCCTATTACTGTGAGGCCCAAGCATTAATTACCATAATGACTCCCCATTTTATACGGCATTTTAAATTATGTGATAACTTGAAGTATTTTAAATGTCAAAATTGAGGAAAAAAATGTGGGGACCAAGTTTATAAAAGTTGGGTCTTTTTTTAAAAAAAAATTATCCAAAATTAAAGTATATTTTTGATCATTCTTCAATAATGTATCATTTTATACTATACTATAGTATATAACGTTAGAGGAAATATATAATATTATAGTATAATACATAAATATATTATATAAATATATGCATATATAATATTATATATTGTATATAATATAGTAGAATATAATAGTATATATTATATATATAATATAATTTGTAATATATTATATTTTGTTATATGTATTATATATTTATATTTATTTTATTAATGTAATTGTATTATTTTTTATATATATTTATTATGTAAAATATATGTAATATAAGATATTTGTATACTATATATTATATAATTAATATATAGTATAATACATAAATATGTTATACATATTATATAAATGTATGAATATATAATAAAATATGATGTATATTAAAAATATAATAGTATAAATTATATATAATATAATTTGTATTATATTATATTATATATTTGTATTTATTTTATGGGTGTGGTTTGTATAGAGCCTAGGCTCTAAACAATCGAATTACAGCCTACCTTCAAATAGTGTCGAGAAATGCGGTTTTACTACTGGAAATCTTTGTGATAGCCTTAAAATATATTTTTATATTTATTTATAAAGTTCAAAGCTTCAAAAAGAGCGTAGATCAACAAATCTATGAAAACTTAAAAATCTTGAAAATTGACGGTCTAAAAATGCGTTACAAAATATACTGTTTCCAAAACTTGAAATTCATTTTTTTCTCATGTCCATGCATCTTGATGTCGAGATGATCAAATTAAAGATATTTGGGCATCAAAACAACCTCTTCTAGTGAACTTTTTGAGGTAGGCTCAAATTTGATTGTTTAGAGCCTCGGCTCTATATAAACTTTTCCTTTATTTTATTAATGTAATTGTATTAGATAATGTATGATATTTAATTGTATTATATAATATATGATATTTATATTAGGAAAAAGTTTACATAAGGATGCAACCTTATAATGTAGAGCTACTGATGCACCTCAAAAATCCATCAAAAAAGGTAGTTTTAATGTTGAAAAACCTTTTGATTGATCATCTCGACATTGAGATATATGACCATGAAAAATAAAAAGATTTTAAATCTCAGAAATAGTGCATTTTACAACATATTGTCTACACCATCCATTTTCAAGATTTTCATATGTTTATAGATCTACTTGATTTTGACCATTTTTTAAATTTAGAATTTTATAATTAGATATAAAAATAGCTTTTGAGATAATTCTAAAAGATTTTACATCAAAATTATATACCATGATAAAATTTAAAGGTGCACTTTACCTCTACGGCTACGGATGCATCTGCATGCTAACTACACCTTTTATATTATTAACATATATTTTATGATAGATAATATAAATATTTATTCTATTATATGTAATATATAATATAAAAAAAAAAAAAACTGGACCGGGCTGACTAGCCCATTGCAGGCTCTACTCAATATAGGAAAATGAGAGTGGTCTCTCCCCTCCCTCGATCAATCAAGAGTCTCTCTCCCTTGATACTACTCGCTCTCTCTCTCTCTCTCTTTCCTAAATTGATCTAACAAACTGGAAGATTCTCACCAAAATAGCCATGCAGACTTTGAATAAATCCCTCCTATTTTTTGAAATTTTCTATTTTTCATTGAACTAGCGACCCCTCTCTCTCTCTCTCTCTCTCGTTTTAGAAATGCCAGTTTGCCCTAGACCTTAAAATATTGATTCTTTGAATACAAATACTGTCTTGGAGCATGCACGTAATTGCTAATGTCATTTTTCATGCATGAATCTTTTTTCTCACCGGTGGTAATCATTCTTGGTTAAATTTGTAAGGTGCCCAATCAGGGTTGGCAATAGGTTGGGTCGGGTTCAGAACCGAATAGTATTTGGATCCAAGTTTTGAGCCTAAATCTGACCCATCGAATCCAAAAGTTGGACTCATACCTGTACTCGTTGGATCCCGGGTCTATCCCGTCGGGTCCTGGGTCTGATCGGGTCCATTGCCACCCTCGCTACGAGCTTCTTTTTTTTTTTTTCCCCACAATCACCCGCCATTAGATTTGAAACCATCTAATCTGTCGTTTAATAGCTAAAGATGATTACGAGTTATTATTGATCCTTAATACACCCAAACGAATGAAGCTTGAAGTATGTTATCTCTAACAATTTATAGGTATGGGCCTGGTCCAAATGGACCAGAGGTTATTTGTATTCCTTGGAAACCTCCACCTACATGCACCCAGACTTGGACCCGAATAGTGTTCAGATCCAAGTTTTGGAACCATACCCAACCCGCCAGATCGAAATGTTGAACCTATAGGCAGACCTGCGTTGGGTATATACCCGGTAGGTCTCGGGTCGAGTCCGGGTCCATTGGCACCCCTTCTCTTGCTCCAGTTTTAGACCATACAACTAGTTCTCTCTCTAATACAACTAGATCTCTCTCTATATATAGGGTGGGGTTTGTATAGAGCCTTGGCTTTAAACAATCAAATTAAAGCCTACCTTCAAATAGTGTCAAGAAATGTGGTTTCAATGCTAGAAATATTTGTGATAGCCTTAAAATATATTATTACTTTTATTTATAAAGTCTAAAGCTTCAAAAATAGTGTAAATCGACAGATCTATTAAAATTGAAAATCTTGAAAATCGGCGGTTCAAAAATACGTTACAAAATATATTATTTTCAAAAGTTGAAATCTATTTTTTTTCTCATGTCCATGCATCTTGATGTCGAGATGATCAATATGAGGATATTTAGACATCAAAACAATCTCTTCTAGTGAAATTTTTGTAATAGGCTCCAATTTGATTGTTTATAGCCTCGGCTCTATATTAATTTTTCCCTATATATTGGATAACTCTCATATGCCTCTCCTCTATGCAATTTTTAAGGCTAGCAACAGGTCGGACCCAAGCGGGAACAACCTTGGCCCGAGTCCTAGCCTTAGCCCAGCCCTATTCCCTTGGGGCCAGCCCTCAGGTCTGGCTCTAACCCTATCAAAGCTGACCTGGGCCATGTCTAATAAAATTAAAGACAAATAATATAAAGAAAAGATAAAGGCTGGGCAGAACCCGGCGTAACTTGGCCTGTCCCATGCCCGAGCCAGGCCGGACCACCTGGCAAATTTGGACTGCACAACTCTCCTCTCTCTCTCTCTCTCTCTCTCTCTATCTGA